AGGTTAAGGAATACTGTGGTACAGCAATTACGCTTTCCAGTTAAAAGTGACTTATTCTTTCTAGTCAAAAAATTAGTGCTAGATTATACCACGCGTGTACCTTTAGAGGAAATTTTATAAAATAAATTTATAGCGTGGGTGCTTTGCCTTCGTGATCTTCATGCCCGTTTATCACCGCACCACTCATTAGTGGGAAGAACGTGCATTAGACAGTAGCTGTCATGTGGTTTGAGGACTGTGACGCACTTGATGGAGCAAGGGACAGTCACAGACCCTGGGAAGGCCCGGCACTGATTTACACACAAGCATGGCCTTCTGGCTCCGTGTTACAGATGACCCTCTGCGGGCCCTCAGTCCTGCTCCTGTGATGCCTTTACTTTTGTACACGCCCTGTCTCTTGTTGTCTCCTCAGATACTCTCCAGAAATCTGTCTCCCCCACGTCTCATCATCCGTTCTCACTCTGTAATGGAGCATTTCAGCAGCATAAAGACATGTGCTGTTATTTCTCTTCCCTTAAAACTAAAGTACATCTTACCTTCATCCAACTTTACAGGCAGCAGTTGTTCTATTTCTTTGCTTCCTGTTGTAGCCAAATTACACAAAACAGTTGTCTATACCTGGATTTCTTCTGCCATTTTTAAAAAGTTCAATACTGGGACTGGGGATATAGCTCAGCAGCATAAGCACCTGCCTGGCAAACATATGGTTCTGAGTTCAATTCCCAGTACCAAAAAAAAAAAAAAAAAATTCAAGACTGGTAATGGAACCCAGCACCTTCATACTGAGCTACATCCCAGCCACTTTGTATGCTTGTTTATTTGTTTGTTATTTTCACACAGAGTCTCACTAAGTCACCAAATTACTCAGGCTGGGCTTGAATTTGGGATCCTCCTGCCTCAGTCACCCAGAGCGCTAGGATTACAGGCATGTGCCACCTCTCTACCCAGTCTCTGTCATCCCATTCTCATAAGCACTCTCCCCAAGGCCTCTGCTCCTACTTCTTCACTAACCTCCCCGGGGCGTTACAGGGGAAGGCTGTTGTCTGCACTGGCAAAGTCACTGGTGCGCTGTCTGCACGGCTGCCTGGATGTCCTCCTCCTGTTATTAACTTGGCCTCCTTCGCTAAACTTATCACGGCTGTGTCCCTGACACCAGCTCAGCTCTCTGACCTGGACTCTGCTCAGCATTGCAGCTGGGTATTCGAGCCCTCCAAGCTTGGCTGCCCTTCTTTATGCTACAGCTGAAATGTATTGCCCCTGTGGTTCAGGTCCGTGAACCCCACAGTCACTCCCTCCACACTTGTCCCTGGCTGGACGCATCCTTTATCTTCCCGCTGCTCTGCGTCACTCTTGCTGCACCCCACGCCCGTCTACCCCACCCTCTCACCGCTGCACCAGGGGCTCCTTCTAAGCAGCCTCCCTGTTCCCAGCCTTGCCCCTGCTGTAAAGTCTGTTTCTAACGTACAGCTGTGTAGTCCTTTTAAAACACAATGAGATCGCATTATCACTGTAGCTTAGCACCCTCTAACAACTCACCATCTTACTTAGAAAGAAACGAGGTGAGGGGCTGGGGATTTAGCTCAGCGGCAAAGCGCCTGCCTGGCAAGTGCAAGGTCGTGAGTTCGGTTCCCGGTACCGGAGAAAAACCAAAACAAAAAAAAAAAAAAAAAAAAAAAAAAAAAAAACAAGAAAAAAACGAGGTGTGGTGGTCCCTCTCCCTCCCCATTGCCTTCCATCCTCCCTTCCGTGTTCCCGGAATGTGCCCTAGCGGGTCCCTGGTGCCCTGGCCCGGTCCTGAGGGCCCTGTGGGAGATTTCAGTTCTTCTCAGTAGGACCTTGTGTCCAGGAGACCTTCCTGCACAACCTTCCTCCTCCTCAGTCCCAGGAACCCAGGAGCTCCCTATACTACTTGAATTTTCCCACAGAAGCCCTTATCATCTTATAATGTATTACCTAGTTTACTCCTAACTTTCACGTCTTGTCTTCTGCCTGGAGAAATTATGCTCAAAGACAGCAGGGATTCTGACTTCTTGTCTGTTATACTTTAAGTAGTGTGTGGCACCTACTAGTTGATCACCCAATTGCTATTAGCCTTTAGAACTAGTTCTGGCCGGATGTGGTGGTGCACGCACATGTGTAATCCTAACACTTTCAGGTCTGAGGCAGGGGGATCCCTGTGAGTTCAAGGCCAACCCGGGCTACATGGTGAGTTCAGAGGCTGCCTGCACCACACAGGGAGACCCTACCTCAAAAACAAAAACAAAAACAAAAACAAACAAAAGACTAGTTCTAACTCTTTGGGGAAGATGCCTAGAAGGGGAATAGCTGGGTTGAGTGGAATTTCTAATTTTACTTTTCTGGGGAATCGCTGTAAGTGGTTGCTCTAGTTTACATTCCCACTAGCACTACAGAAGGGTCCTGGACTCTGCCTCAGCCTCACTAGCATTTGTTCTTACCTGATTTCCTGCTATGGGCATTCTTTCTGGAGTGAGATGGAACCTCAGAGTTGTTTTAATTTGTATTCCTCTGGGGATCAGAGGTGTTTTGAGCATTTTTCTTGTATTTATTGGCCACTTGCACTTCTTGTGAGAAGGGTCTTTTCATTTCACTTGCCCAGTTTTTGATTTGCTCTATTATTTTGGGGGTCTAATTACTTGAGTTTTTTATATATTCTGGCTATTAGCTCTCTGTCTAAGAAACAGCTGGTAATTTTTTTCCCACTCTGCCATACGGAAGGATAAACATCAGTCATTTATAAAAAAAACAAATACACCTGGAGACCTTAATGTTAAGTGCAGTAAATTAGATGTACAAGGTTAAATGTAACATGCTTTTTTCTCTTCATATGAGAAACCCAAAATATAAATAAAGAGCAAAGTGAAAGATAATAAGAGGGAGGCAGATCTTTCTCCAGTGGGAGGGGGTCAAGAGATGGAAGGAAAGATGGGGGAAGGGGAGGGAAGGAAATGGACAGAATCGGGTTTGTTGTGCACACGGAGTGTAATCATTACGTACTGTGACATGTACTAATGAAACGTACACACTGAAGGACATCCAGTTCTAGAAACACCACTGTTAGCTGGATGTCTCCACCACAATTACCAAACTAACGCCTAGACGGGCTCCCTTGTCACCCAGCAGAGAGCCTTGCGACCTGCAGCTTGGTTTGCCCTTCAGCCAAAATCCTGCTGAACTGCAGACTTCCTTTCACTTACCACGAGTATGAAACTTAATAGTCGTACAAACCTACATATGCATGTGGCTGAAAAACAGGAAGAATGTTTAACTTTTCTAAAAATCATTATAGTAAAGGACATGTTGCCTCTGGTCCCCCTAAAATCTGCACCCCCCTTTGAACTCTCTAATCCCGTCATTCTCCCGTGCCTGGAGCAGTGTGGGGTCCTTGTTTGTGAATGTCCTTAATCAAATTCAACGACCTTTATAAGCTTGATGGTCATTTTTTCTTTGGGGCCCAGCCAAAGGTCAAGCAGTGCCAAATGCGGTAAGCAAATTGGAGGAGGACACCCCATAATGTCTTCCTGGTCCTGCATTTCGGGGGGGGGGCATTTTGAAGGGGGTATAATGGCAGTATATCTTTTATTATAGTGACATTTTTATTTAAGCATTCACTCTATATTTTCCTGAGCATTAATGTTTTCTTTTTTGTATATACATTTATACATAGTGTTTTGGTTACTTTTCTCTTGCTGCTGAGACAAAATATCCAATGCCCAAAATGAAGGAAGGAAAGGATTATTTAGCTTACAGTTTGTAGAGGTTTCAGTCCATACTTGGTTGGCTCCTTGGCTCCGAGGCAGAAGGTAGCAAAGCAACAAGAGCAAAGGGGGAATGGCACCCGAACAGCAAAGCAGCCAGAGCAAAAGGGCAGAATGGCAGCAAGCACCCTCTTTCTCTGCCTTACATTGTAAACAGGCTATCCCCACCTAAGGGGCGTGTAGCTCTCACATAATCTCCATGCCCTCCTCTTCCACAGGCTCAGGATGTATACAAAGTAAGCACCCTGGCTTCCTGCTGAGCCACTTAGCCAAACCTCTAGACTCCCCAAGTTGACACAGTGTATCAACCATAACACATAGGTATTTGTTTTCTATTTTGTTGAGTATTTACTGAAACTAAGGAATTTCTTCATCTATTTCTATTGTTGAGTATTTATTGAAACTAAGGAATTTCTTCATCTGTTTCTATAATTGTGAAAAATAAAGTGGCTGAGTATGTCTGGAGTTCTTTCAGTATCTTCTAATCTGTTCCTCTGATACTTGGGTCTTGTTCTTTTTTAGCTCTTGCCATGCTGTTTTATCATGGTAACTTTGTAGGACTAGAGGTTCCTTTTGAGCCAGCTGCTCCCCTTCCTGGTATTTTCTTGAAAAAATTAAAAGCATCATATCACAGCAATGTATGCAACCCACATTTATAGTGGAACAGTTTGTCATAGCTAAATCAGCCCAAATGCCCATCAACCAATGAATGGATAAAGAAGATGTGTTGTTTTTTATGTAATGGAGTACTACTCAACTCTAAAGAAGGATAAACTTGAGTCATTTCTAGGTAAATGGATGCAACTTGAAATCATACTCTTAAGTGAGATAAATTGGACACATATGTGTAAATACCATATTTTTTCTCTGGTGTGAGAAGCCAAAAGTGTAAATAAGGACCAAAATGTTTAACAGATGTTGTGAAATATGAAGAAAATGCTTAATTGAGAAGGGGAACTAGGGAGGAGGGAGGGGGAAAGGAAGGAATGGAAAAGAAAATAATGAGAAAAGAAGGAAAAATTGGAAACAAAGCTTTTGTAAATAAGGAGGGGAAGAAGGGTTGAACAGAGGGAGGGGATTGGGAAAAAAAGAAACAAAATATATCATATACAGGTACAAATTCCTTGTGATGAATGTGATCATTAAGTATATCTAAAATGTACCAATAAACTGAATTCATTTTTTAAAAGTACCCTAATTGCTTCTTATTCTTATCTTTAACAGGTCATTGCTTTAGTTATGGACATATTTACAGATGTGGACATTTTCAAAGAAATAGTGGAGGCCTCCACTCGAGGGGTATCTGTGTACATTTTACTTGATGAGTTCAACTTTAATCACTTTTTCAGCATGACTGAAAAACAGGGTTGTCAAATTCAACGTCTCAGGGTAAGAATTCTCTTTCTCACAAGTATTTTTGTGCGCCATTTTCCTCTTAGTCAAGTTTTCAGCATGTTAAGATAGAGTATTCCAGAAGTGAAAATAAAAATATGCCTATGTACAGTGATGCAATGATTTATCACTGAAGGTGACTGAAAATAAATGCCTTCATGTTGTACTTTTCTGAGTTAATTTTGCTACCAGGCCGACAGACAGCCTTGAGCCCACGGACTGGAGTGATTCTGTGATCCATCTGGCAGAAGCATTTGACATAGTCTTCAGTTACATTTCATTTTTGAAGGAAAGACAAAATTTTAATTTTAGCCCTTTGGTTATCATGGTACTACAGCCTATAAAGGCTTCTCACAGTAGGATCCTAAAGCATTTATGAAACATTTTGTGTAAATGTACAGTGTTGTCTCCTTTTTAGTTATTTTAAAATGTAGTGTTTAGGTGATTATTTTTCCGCAGTATTGAGTTTTGAGGATAATTTTTGAAATTTTCTCTCCATGAATTTTGATGTGTCTTAAAAGTTCATTTCAGGTTAATATTTTTGATAGTAAAGTTTTGTATCGATATGCATTTCACTTTTCAAAATATCTCCTTTCTAGCTATAATTTTTACTTTATTTGTACATATAATTTTAGAACATTCGAGTTCGGACAGTGAGAGGCCAAGATTATCTTTCAAAATCGGGAACAAAATTCCATGGGAAAATGGAACAGAAATTTTTGTTAGTTGACTGCCAGAAAGTCATATACGGTTCCTACAGGTAAGAACATTGTGTTTGTGTTCAGTGTTACCCACCACTTAAATAATTTATTTATTTATTTATTTATTTATTTTTGGTTTTTCTCCGGTACCGGGAACCGAACTCACGACCTTGCGCTTGCCAGGCAGGCGCTTTTGCTACTGAGCTAAATCCCCAGCCCCTTAAATAATTTATTAGCTTCAGATTTTAATACAGTTGGCTTAGCTCTAGCTTCAAAATAAGAAGGGAACCCTTGGGTGAAGCTCAGAGTCCTGGGTTTTAGTTAAGGGTCTGCGTCTAAAGAACATTAATACTTCGGGCAAAGTACATTACTTCCCGAGCTTTGAGTTCTCCTCCAGAACACAGGGGCTGTCTCACGTCTACAGTGCCCACGGCTGTACTGTGCCAAAAGTGGGGTTTTCTCCGTGTGAACAGTGCAGAATGTGGATATAACAGTGGCTTATAAAAACAAAAGCTGTCTTCTACTTTGAAGAGACTATCAAATGGATTTTTCTAATTTCATTACTCAGAATCCAATCAAACCAAAACTGCAGCCCGATCCAGGTCATGTGGTCCAGGGTGTAGACATTGCCCAATCATCCTTCGGAAATCCCTGACATCCATCCTGAGTGATCTAGATAGTGAAGCCATATAAAGGCAACATCAGCAAACACTCTGGCTGCTGAGTTGCTAGGACAGTGTTACATTAAAGGTACAAGCAAGTCTAGGGAGGTTTCCTGGATGTGGACAGGAAGGCGGGAGGTGACTCTGTTGCCCGAATATATTGCTTAAATCCATTAGGGTGGGTCACGGACTGAAGGGTATGGCCTTGAGCAAGTTCCTTAATCCAGCCGCAGTTTGTTTCCCTCAGCTGTACAGTGAGAATAATCATACAGCCTACCTCTTGTCATCCTTGCTAGGAGTAAACGAGTTAATGCATTCCAAACTCTGAACATGAAATATTGTGTTACGACTTCATTTGGTCATCTTCTCCCATGTCCCCTTTAAGCTCAAGAACCTTTTATTTCTTTTAAACTCTTTAGTATTCCAAATGGAACCTTGTTAAGAGGAGAAATTGCAACTAGTGCCTACAGTTAGTGAGTCCTTTTAAAGTCTTCCTGTATGACTATACACTTGTTCCAACCCTAGTTTTAGAGAGTTTTTCATTGAAAATTTAATTAAAATTGAGTTTATTTGACATAGAATGGTGTTTCTTATGAAACCCATCATAATCAATGCTTTCTGTTTTCATTATTTAACCCGACTCTTAAGATTGTTTTCAATAGTGTTTACCGCAACTTTGTTTTGCCACCAGCAGTTTCTGAGAGCTGCTAAGAACTGTCGTGAATATTGCTGAGCTACTTGAGATTGATAAGGAGAGAAGCAAGACAAAACAGAACAAAACTCTGTGTCTTTCCTTCCCACCTATGTCATACAGTTCATCCTAACTCCTCACAACTCTATTCTCTTTGCTCTTTCAAGTTCATTTTAAATATGTGTCATCAAATATCTATCAGATTTTACGATTTCAGTGTAGACTGTCTTCCAAAGGCTCTGATGTCCGGAGGTGGGGCTTTAGGGGTGACCGTGGCCCGCTGGGCTCGTTGATGAGTGAGTTCACTCAGGAATGGGCAGCTGAGCGTGTTAGGAGGTGGGGCCTGTGTAGGAGAGGCGGACACCGGGCTGGGCATGAGCTGGAGGACTCCTTCCTTCACCCGCTGCTTCCTGACGGCCATGGAGTGAGCCGCTGTTCTCCGGCCAGCCCTTCCGCTGAGTGACCACGAGCGGAAGCTGTGAGCCAGTGTGAACCTCCCCTTCCCTGCCTGAGACGGGTGCTGGGTCTCGGCGGTGGGAACGTGGCTTAGCTGTCAGCTATTCCCATGTTTTTCCTAATTATCATACAGTTTTCCTATGCTAGGATGTAATAGTTATGAGCAATCTTGGTTAAAGTGTATATTTTCTTCTTATGGAAACATCCTTGGACTGTGTAGCTCGGTGGTAGAGTGCTTGCCTGGCGTGTGTGAGGCCCTGGGCTGAGAAGGATTGAGAACGCAGCCTTCGTCCCTCATATTCTAGCTTTGCTGCTGGCTTTCTCCTAGGAAGACCTCCTTTAATTCGACATCATTTGCATGGATGTCACTGAGGTCTAGGCCCCAGTGGTCACAGAGCAGTCTGGACTCTGCCCGCCCTGCAGTGAGACAGTGATGATTCACAGGTCGTGAGATTTCTTTGTCAAGAAAGTACAAACAGAGCTTTGCCGTAATATGGTACTAACACGGATGAGATGAGACTCTTACATCCTCTTTAATCAGTGTGTGTAAATGTCTTGTTTGATAGCCTTATTTGAAATTGTGAAAATCTGGAAAGTCATTAGTCAAGCTTTTCCCACAGATTGAACTGAGAAAGAATTTTGACGGTTTTATTTTTCGAATGTCTATAAAGGTTACTTTCTAAAGCTTTCAAATTGGCATCAGGTGTGAAGGTCATCATCTTTGAGACTCGTGCTGCAGCCCCTGTACTGTCTCCGCTTACACCCACCAGCTCTGCTGCTGAAGCCTCACGGGAATGCAGAGGTTTTAAAGCCACTGATTAGTATGTGGGTTCAAAACCACGCTACAGCTTTATGACTGACACGTGACAGTGTGGTGGGGGGAGGTGGGAATGTTTTTTTACTTGAGATATTTACATATTTGAAAATTAAACATTACTGAATGATTTGAAGTACAAAATAATAGTTTTTATGCTGTGTCTGTAGCCATTCTTGGTCTTGTCCTCCAGATGCAATCATTCAATCCCCCCCTCTTTTGTTTGAGATGAAGTCTCCTGATGTTACCCAGGCTGGTCTCAAATTCACAGTCTTCCTGCCTCAGCCTCATAGTAGCTGGGATTACAGGTTTGTGTCACATACAATTCTTCTAGCTTGTTCTTCTTTTGATCTTTATTCTGTTACCTTAAATGAAGTGATCATGCTTTTCTCAATTTATCAATTTCAGTTATCATTGTCTCTTGGCTTTTCGTCATGGTAATCGAGGAGTTTTATTCTCTGCTCATCCATACCCACTTTCTTTTCATGTCCTCCACCTTCCAACATAGTCTTATCACAGTTTTGTACTTAATCAGAAGTTCAGACTTACCTTATTTTAACTGTGTTACCATTCATCCTTGGAGTGATTTATGACATGTCATTTTTATAACAAATGTAATAATAGCTGTTTTTTTTATCATTGCCCTCATTTTCTGTTTACTGCTTTATTTCTGGTGATCACACAGATTTTGCAGTATATGAGTAACTTCTCCAAATGCTCAGTTATTGTAGATAACTGGTAACGCCCAACCTAGGCTAAACCACAGTCACAGCTAGGGTTCTAGTGCATCCCATATTCCTGATTTTTTAAATCTCATTTTTTTGTTTTTGGTTTCCATGTTTTTTTCTTTTCCCCACGTATATGAAAGTATATCCTCAGACCAAAGTTTATAATTCTAAATATTTCATAGTTTAGCTTGAGATCCAATTTAAGCCAAATCCTTTCTCCTCCAGATTTGGAAGGTGGTGCCTTCTAGGCAAAGCGCTGCCGTAAGTATCACCAGTTACTATTCCCAGTCTTCTCACGCGACTCTTGGTCTCTTTCTTGTGGTTTCCGAGATTTCACATTTTTCCTGTTAGTTTTTTGTTTTTTCGAGTGCGTTGTGGTGCAGTTAGGTTTGCTGGCAATCATCCTGCCGTGTTCGACGCACTCATCTATGGCTCTCCGGTTCCTCTTGGCAGAGCTCTCCCTGCATCCCCTGCACTTTAAGGTGTTGTGTTTCCATTTTCATCGATTTCACATGTGCTTTCTAACTTCCTTGTGACTTCTTCTTTGACCCACTAGTTGTTTAAAACTTGTTATTGAGTTATTAATACAAGTATATATGAATTTTTCAGTTTTCTCTTTATACTTGTAATCCAGAAAGATAGTTTGCATGATTTAAATCTTCTCCACGCTGTTCTGATTTCTTCCATCTTCTACTGCTTTCATTCTCCTGAGGCTGTGCAGTCCCAGGTCAGGGAGCTGTGCCTGGTGAGAGGCTTCCTGCTGGTGGAAATTTTCTGTAGAATTCCAGAACTGTGCCGGGCATCACATGGGGTGGATCTTGACAGCTCAGGTCTCTCTTCCTCTTCTCAGAAATCACTAATTGCATCCTGGGGGTCCTACTCTCAGGACCTCCTCTAATACTAATAACTTCCCAGAGGCCCTGCCTCCAAAAAAGCATGCACATAGATTTGGGGGATTAAGTTTCCCACACCTAAATTCCGGAGGACGTATTCAGGGACTAACAGAGGGAAGGGAAGCATTTTAGAGAGAACAGTGATGACAAAGACCCTGGGGCCAACATCTGGGGAACAGACAGGCCAGTGGCACAGGCGGACCTTAGGCAAGGAGAGTTTGCCTAATAAGATCCTCCTGATTGGGCAGCGGAGTCATTGTGTAAATCCAGGTTAGGAGCTGGAATTTTATTTTAAATTAAAGGGAAAATTCTTTGTAGTGGCATGAATGGATCTACATTTTGAAACAATCATTTCTGTTGTTCTATTCAGCGAAAAATAAGCAATAAAGAGGCCAAGAGTCAAGCTAGCTGTTACCACAGAGTAGTAGCAGGACAGTGGAGATTTGAGAGAGGTTTCAGAATCAGTCAGTGGACCTGTTTCTTCTCACTGGTGTAGGGAAAGTGAGCGCTGTTTTTATCTTGGGCCCTGATGGAGATGGTTGGCTACAGACTTACAAAAGTAAAATGTGGGAGCGAGCTGGGGGTGGGGGATCGCTGGTGTGTAGATTGGACACATGGAGACACCGCAGCTGTCGATTGGCTCCAAGCTCAAACTTGTCACTACTCAAACAGCAACACGAGGGGCAACTGCAGTCTAAGGCCCCGGCGCCAGCAATGGCCAGTGCTCGTGTCTGAGACTTAAAACTTGCGTCATTGTGCTTTTATCCCCTGCGTGCTTCATTTGCATGCAACATGGTAACCACGGCTCCAAACCAAGTTAGTGACTCCAGCAATAAAGCTAAGGGGAAGACCGTGAGAACCACGAGGGTTGTAGAAGGAAACCACTGCGAAATTGGACAGAATGAATTTACAAGTGTTATTTTGGGGCCTCACAACCAGTGATTTGGTTTTCTATTACTTTTCATGGGAAAAATATGTTCAATTCTGGAATTTTTCAGTGTTTGAACAAATTGAATTTGACAACCACCATATCACGATATTAGGTTTGTGAGAGCCATTAAAAATTGCAAGCAGAGGTTGGCCATTAACTCTGGAGAGCTATGGAAGGTCAGAACTGAAGATACAGACCCGAAAGCTGATAGCATGTAGCTGAACACAAACTGCATAGGATGACAGGGGGCCAGGAGTCCATCCCCAAGTTCAGAAGTGTATCTCATGTCTCTAGATTCTCAGATTTGCTTGTAGAATATATTCAATTGGATGTCTTACTGTCACTTGCATTTTTGTTACAATGTTTGGATTTATCAAACGGGCAACTTTTTTTTCCAGTTGCCACACGTTCACCTGTATCCATATCTTCTCAGTTGCCTAAGCTTACTACCTGGAGGTTATTTTTATTTCATAACATGATGTTATTTCCTATAGCTATAATATAAGCAAGAAACTCAATTCTTTTTCTTTTTTAAAAAATTCTTTGTCTTTCAAGTCTATAAAACTAAAAAAATTCTTCTAACATCTCTTTTTACTCTAATTTATTCAAATTTGGGGGGAAATCCTAAACAATCAAACTTTCTGCTTTGTTTCCAAGATCTCTCCCACTAGTTCACAACCTTTGTCTGGTCTTTACTTCAGCTAGTGCAGTCTGTTTGATATGTTTGACCAGAGCATGGTTATCACGGTGTCCTTTGCCTTTGCGTGTTTCTTCTTTGCTGCACAATTGTCTTTCCCCATCTTTCTCGCTGGAACTATTGTTTATCTGGCCACTATCATAATGTCGCTAAGCTCCCGCTTTCTCTTGGGATTTCCACATACTTGCAAACTATTTATTCAGTTACTTGATTTTCTAACAAGTAGCTGTATCTTTGTACTTGTATCTTTGACTAGGTTGAAAATTTCTTTAGTCAGTCTTGCTTGCGCTATTTCCTTGAAGCTGTTTCAGTTGCTCTCCCGAGGGCCTTTGTGAACATTTTCTTCATACTGTGCGTTCAAGAGGCATAACAGATACATTTGAGCATCATCAGAATGACAAGATTCTTAAATTGTACATTGCGGTTTGTGGCCCTTTACATATTTCAATGATTACTCTGTGCATTTAAAAAAATCTTCACTTTTGCCCGTGTTCCTGTTTCCCCTATATAAACAGGAAGATCCTTGGATACAGAGAGTTTCTCTCATTTTCCTGTTATATTAAATCCCATTGCATCATACATTGCTTGAGGAATACCATTTTTGAAATTTATTTTTTCTTGCTCAGTGACTCTTTATAATCCATCAGATAGGTTTTTAAAAAACATATTTAAAACCGTATATGAAGTTTCAAGGAAACTGTCACCTCTAAACTTTTGGAAAGGGATTGAAAGTTCCACAAAGTACTGTGAACTCAAGACAAACTTTAATTTCCCGGAAATTATATTTGTTGAAAAATCCTGCCTGGCATTTTGAGTGGGTTTATGAGGATTCAGCTCTGTGACCAGAGCACAGCGAAGTGTGCACAGTAGTGACTGGACAGTGGCCCACGACTTCTGTTTGCAGCTGTCTGGAACTAAGCAACACTTACTGTGTAAACCTTAAAGGGAACAGTCTGAAGGCACTGGGACTCTTAAAATACATGTATTCCCACAGGTCTGCACTGCTTTACCACAGGTCAGGACTCTTGGTGGTTGTAGCCCTTATGTTGTCTGTGCCCTGCTTTTGGATAGGAGGAAGCTGAAGCCCACATTCATGTGTCTGTAGCTCTGCAGAAGTCACACTTCCAACTCTTCCTCAAATACTGACTTCTCTGCGTAGTGCCAGAAGCATATATGTGAAATATAGGATCATTATTTTTTCACTCTCTCAGTTTTTGGTAGGTGCAGATGTAAAATGCACAGCACCCATTTCTTGGGGCTTCTGAACAGTAGTGTAAGAAATTGCGGGGCAGAAAGCCAGAACTTGAGTTGCTTTGTTACTTAATACACGAACATGGGAATACAAAGACACATGAACTATGGACCTGTGATGATTAAAAATATTTTAAGTTATAGCAGGATAAACACAGTTTTTCACTATTAAAGACCCATTCTTAGGAGGATCGTTTATTATCATCAGTCTTTTAACTTAGCCAAAATGAAATTTTCTCTGTTTTCTTTCAGTTACATGTGGTCATTTGAGAAAGCTCACCTCAGCATGGTTCAGGTAATCACGGGCCACCTTGTTGAGTCCTTCGACGAGGAATTCAGAACTCTCTACGCCAGGTCCTGTGTCCCCAGCCCTTTTGCCCAGGAAGAGCTGGCGAGGGCAAAGCAAGGCCACGCGCTCTGGGAGAACGGCGTGTATCAGCGCTCAGTTTCTTCCTTAGCCTCCATTTCCAGCCAAAGAAACCTTTTTGGTAGACAAGACAAAATTCATAACCTGGATTCTAGTTACTTGAAAGGCAGAGGGATGTATCCCTTCAACGAGCATGACAAATACGGGATAAGAAATCATGGATACAAACCTCATTTTGTGCCAAACTTCAATGGTCCAATGCGACAGTTTCAACCCAGTCAGATAAATGAAAATTGGAAAAGGCATAGTTATGCTGGGGAACAGCCGGAAACTACGCCGTACCTGTTGCTTAACAGGGCTCTGAATCGAGCCAGTAACCCACCTGGGAGTTGGAGGAGGCCTTCAGATAGTCTCAGCGTGGCGTCTTCATCTCGAGGGGGCTACACAGGCCTCCACAGCACAGCTGCCCAGAGTTTTGCGGACCGGCTTGCCCAGAGAAAAACAACAAACCTCCCCGAAAGGAATTCTAATGTGCGTAGGTCTTTCAATGGGACAGACAATCACATTCGCTTTTTGCAGCAGCGAATGCCGACCCTTGAGCGCACCACGAAGTCCTTCCTGCGCAGCCGGAGGATCGAGTCCTACTTAAATGATAACTCAGAAGCTGTGCTTGATGCGAACGGCTCGGCCTCGGGTGAGCGAGGGGAAGGCTGTGAGAGCCCCGAGAATCTGAAAGCCAGTGCCCTTTACTCCCACTCTCGCCTTCGTTCCTCTTTTGCATTTAAACCAACTTTACCTGAGCAGCAAGAAGTTAACAGCTGTACAACTGACTCCTCAAACTCAACCATCATTGGTTCCCAGGGAAGCGACACGCCTAAGCAGGCCCCAGACACCCCTGCAGACGCACAGCATCTGACACGAAAAGCTCTGCCTGAATCAGCCCCTGCGATTGCGACACAGTCAGAGGCACCAAAACCACATATGCTCCAGGCTCCCGAGCACCAGTTACCAGTTCTCAACCAAGCAGCGGCGAGCCGCACAGAAGCAAACCACTGTGTGCATGCAGTCCTGGGTGTGAGTACACAGACAGAAAAGCTCCAGGGTCAACAGCATGAGAATCTGCTCAAAAGACGAAGTTTTCCATCCTTTGACCCCTCAAAATCCAACTTAGATCATGGAAACAGTAAGAATTATGTATATAGCACACTCATGAGGAATCGAGTTAGACAACCAGAAAAACCCAAAGAGGATTTGCTGAAAAGTTCTAAAAGTATGCACAATGTGACCCAAAACATAGAAGAGGAGGACGAGGAGGAGGAGGACGTGATCAAGAGGGCCCCTCCAGGGGGCAACACCACCAAGTCCATTTCCATTGCTGCTTTACTTGATGTGAATAAAGAGGAGGCTAACAAGGAACTCACTGCAAAGAAAGATGTCAAGGGGTCTCCAAGCTTTTTGAAAAAGGGATCGCAGAAGTTAAGGTCCTTGCTTAGCCTTACCCCAGAAAAGAAAGAAAATCTATCCAAGAATAAAGCATCTGCATTCTATAGAATGTGTAGTAGCTCTGATACATTAGTTTCTGAGGGGGGAGAGAATCAAAAGCCAAAGAGATCAGAACCCAAAGTGGATTCATCTCCTAGGAGAAAGCGTTCTTCTTCATCAAACTCTCAAGGCAGCCTCCACAAGAGTAAGGAAGACATAGCAACCGGTAGCCCACCTCAGGGTGTCAGTCCTTGCTCAGATGAAAGTAATAAAATGAAACCTTCTCCACGTCCAGCTGAAAGAAAGTTCGTAGAGAAGGGAGGAGATGCTTCCACCCCGAGATTTAACACTGAGCAGATTCAATACGGAGATTCGAGGGAGAATCATGCAGTTGTTGCTCCTGAAAGAAGATTAACCTCTTCCCCAAGGCCAAAGCCCGGTGAGCTGCTGAGGTCTCACTCCACAAACCAGCGTGTTTACAGTCGTTTTGAGCCATTTTGTAAGCTCGAGAGCTCTATTCCGCCAACAGGCAACATTCCAAACACCAGCGTAAACCACCCGGAGAGAAAGTCCGCATCTATAGGCAACAATTACGGCAGGTCCAGCCCAATGCTGAATTATAATGCTGGTGTGTATCAAGCATACCAACCTAATGAAAACAAGTTTCGAGGATTTATGCAAAAGTTTGGGAACTTCATACACAAAAACAAATGAAATCCTGTAATCTCAAGTAGCCATGTGACTATTAATGTTTGCCCAAGGGATGCTGCAGACGGCTTTGTACCTTGCCAATAGATTTCTTAGGTGCAGAACTGTGGTATGATGTGTACGTTCTCCAGTGCAGTGCGGTGTGCAGTAAAGTTGTTTTATGTGATAAAATTAGTTACACTTCATTTCTTATAGATGGACTTTCTTTGTAAACACTTTTAGAAATGGTAATGGTGAAATAAATAGATGTGGTTAAGCTGCTTTCTGCACACTGAGACTTAAGTATTTAATTAGGAACTTTAGTGAAAACACAGTGTATGAATTTTAACCATTCATTCCAAAGTCCTTCCTCCCAAAGGAGTATCATATTACTAAAATGATGCTTTACGATATGCGTTTGTGGTATTTTCACCATCTCCAAAACTATAAGAAAATGGGACAAAGTTTTTAAATTTGTAACTAATTTTAAATTTTACAAGATAACTTGTTATATTTTATTAACTTTTTCTATGAAGCATTGTGCACCTATTTGGGCAAGAAGGGTATCGTTTAAGCTACGTAGCTCAGCACTCAGGCAAAGTGAAAGAGTACCGTCCTCCTGTGGCACGGGCACAGACCCAGCCCTCTTCGCTCGTCCTGGAAAAGCCGTCTTGGGCACACTTCTCCCTGGTCTGGGCTCGGGGAGCCTCTGCCTCACTGCCGCACCAGCTGCCCACTGTTTGCAGTTATTTCCTACTGCAAATTTAGAGGAAGCAGGAACTTGAAACACAAGGGGTACCTCTGTCCTTTAAGAGACGTAAGCTTCTGCCTAAAGTTTTATTGTAAATTAACATAAAATGCTGAGGTGTTTTATTTGCAGATAGTGTATGAAAGCGTAGTGTTTTCATAAGGGTACCCTGGGAAAAATGAGGAGAAGCTTCGTGTTTCCACGCCTGTACAACCTGGTTGTTTTTCAGGCTTTCTGTATCTGAAGTTGATGATGACATTCAGATGGTAAAATACCCTTTGCCTTAGAGTAATGAAATAAAACTTTATTATACATTACAGAGATTTTAAATTGGCTTTGATTCACGCACAAAGTAGAGAACCCGAGAAGCAATGGATCCTCTAAGCAGTGCGAGGTGCTTTTACAACACTTTAAATACATTACTTAACATCTTTGCCATGAGAGGCAGGAAATTATAAAACTGTGAGCTGCAGTCCAGTATTAATAGCTATGTCGTTAAAATAATTAAAATGATGGCATGACAATAGCTACCATTAAAATACTTTTCTGTGGTATTAAACCACCATGGAAAAAGCATGAGGGAAGAAAATATAACAGAGAAAAGGAAGCTTAAAATTTATTGAGCACTTAACTATGGAGCACACATGATTTAGGAACTGAAGTCACCAAAGGAAGGTTTTGTGGGTAACGTTATTCCCATTGTCTTCAGACAACTGAGGAGAAGACTGAAATGTTGAGACTCAGGTAGACAGTGTTCCAAGTGCATAACTAGTAAGTCATGGCTCTAGATCACTGTAGCCTTCTGTCACAGGGCCTCCCAGTTGGTCCAGCCCTGCCCTGCCCAGACTGCTAGGATGAAAGGGCATTTGCGCTGCTTCCTGACTCAGCAGCAGTCATTGAGGAGCGTGAGTTGACTCTCACCAGACAGCAGGGACACTCCAGGTTTAAGTTACTCATCGCGGATGAGGCTGGGAGATTGAATTGGGATTACATTCTGCGTGTAACTAACTGTGAAAATGACAGCCAGAGAAAGGGAGCCGGGAGTGAGTGGTAACTTTGAGCTTCTGAGCTGGAGAAAAGTCTACTCAGTGAGAGTGAATCTCAATGTTAACAGCTTTACCTCATTAAATGTTTACAATAACCTTGTGAAGCCAAGAGCTCAGAAGACAAAACTGAGCCTCAGGAAAGTGACCTAACTGTCCCGGAGGTACATAGCAATGAATTAGTGGAATTGGGTTTGAGCCTGCATTTCTAACCATATACCACACGATAAATTGCTGGCTTCTCCTCCACTGTGCTGAAGAACCTGCCTTCAAAGTAACCGTCTCTCTTTGGCTCTTCCTTCCCAGAGACTGCAGGAATTACAGATTTCAGAAACATGCCAGTAACCATACAGAGCTAGTGCAAATCCAGAATATATGCTCAGTTTTACAGCAGTCACAAAAGTAAGGATCAAAGCTCTCATTATAACACTGGAAATCCACCAGCATAGGATTGCATTGTTCTGGGAAAATGAATATAATCAATTTAAAAATTTCCCTAATAAGAGCATAAAACTAAAACTTTTTGAGGGAATTGTCTTCATACGAGAAAGGCAATCATGTTCACATAAAAATATTTAAAATAATTTTTTTCATCCATTCTTTCTTTACAAATTCCTTCCCCCTTCCATCCCTTCACCCTCCCTTGTTCCCCTTCCTGTTTGTACATGTTCTTCAACATCTCTTCTCCATTTTGATCCTTATTTACCCTTAGGGTTTCTCACACTCAAAAAAAATGTGATACTTAAACTTGTGTGTCTCATTTATTTCACTTAAAAGTATGGTCTCCCTGCATCAGTTCACCTACAAATGACTCAAGTTTATCCTTTATGGCAGAGTAATACTCCATTGTATATAAATTTCATATTTTCTTAATCCATTCATCTGTTGATGGGCATATGGGCTGTTTCCAAGATTTAGATATAAACATGGGTGCTGCTATATCACTGCTGCTATAAACATAAATTGTGCTGCTGTAAACATGGGTGTGCATATATTATTGTGGTATGATGCTTCTAACTCTTTCAAAAGATACCTAGAAGGCAAATAGCTGGGTCAAGTGGAACGTCTAGCTTTAGATAACTTTAAAAACAACCTTATCAGACCATTATAAAGCATTAGAATTCGGGTCCCGTGGGTGGAACAGATTACTCATTTTGTTCTTGGCAAAATTCATTTCAGTAATTCTGGACCATAGTTCTTTAGAAATGTTCCAAAGTCCAGAACTTAGAGTTAAGCAAACTAGACTGAGTTCAGTATTTCCCATTCTTTGTTAGCACTGGATCGGGAATCTTCTGGTGCTAAAATAATGAGGTAATTGTCCTTAGGCTACTCTGAAATGCAGAGTTTAATTATGTTTAGTTATAAGCAAAAGTCTGTTGTCATGTATACAGCAACTTTCATAGTTTCTGGAAACATGGATAGTTTATATGAACATCTTTTTAAATAGTTGCTTAGCTCTTCGTCTTCGTTGAGTAGGGGAGTACAGAATGCTTTATTTCCTCCACCCTTGACAGCTCATTTAGGCTTTCGAACTACAGCTTTATTCTCCTCTGCATTTTTTCTTTTCTATATGTCAGATTGTGTACATAATAACTTTGCAAAGTTTCTTGGCTAAGAAACTCCCCAGAGTTAAGACTGAGCAAACAAATAATACTTCCAAAACAAGCGTTTCAGTTTTAAACAAACACTACCCTTCTTTATGGATGCAGTAATTTCAAGCAATATATTTCTCTTTCTCCTCATGTTAATATTGGTGGAAAGGTAATGTGAGCTAGATGTGCTTTGATATTAAAGCTTAGTGATCCAATTTTTGCTTCCATAGTCCATGAACTCAAGAAAAGTACTTCTTGGCAGATGGCTTAGGGCCGTGTTCAAACACTTACTGTCCCCTTATTGTGCTGACGGGGCTCAGCCGCAGTCTGACACCGTGTACGGCAGTGCGGTGTACACAGTGAGTTGGCAGTGAGGGAAGCGGGTATCTTATTTAACCGTGGTGATATTACAGTCTAGGTAAAGCTTGACACGAAAACTGCTGAATTTTGGATGCATTCAACTGTAACTGTATCTAAGACCTATCCTTAGTCAACTATTATCCCATAGATACTTGTGTTTTGTGAGTATCTGTTGGTTCTTAATGTGCCTATGGCTAAGGGATATAAAATAGAATCATTGTTTTATGGTAACTACATTTGTGAATTGATGTTATTTAAAAGTTATAGTATTCAGTTTCATTCTATAATGCTTAAAAAAGAGATAAAATAATAAACCAAAGAGTCAATGTAAAACTTTATTTGCATACAATATTACAAAGCATTATTCTTCCAAATTAACTTTGTTTTTAAATTCATAAATAAATATTAAATAATTTTGTACAAATATGAACATATTGCAAGTTTTTTGTTGCTGTTTTTAATCCTTGTACTTTGAGATTCTCCACATTTACTCTTTCACTTAGTATTTACAATTAGGATTGGTTTTTTTAATTTTGTTTTTGAGACAGGGTCTTGCAACATAATTCAAGCTGGCTTGCATTCACAGTGTAGCTCAGGCTGGCCTCAAACAGGCATACGCCATCACATCCAGCTATAATTAGGAATTTTTTTGTCTTTTTTTTTTTTGGAGACAGGGTCTGGTTGGGTAGTTCAGGTGGCTTGAACTCACCATGTATTCCAGGGTGCCTCAAACTTGCAGCGGTCCTTCTACCTCGGCCTCCCAAGTTCTGGGATTACAGGTGTGTGCTACCATGCCTGACTATAATTAGAAATTTAAATTGCAATATTATACATATGAAAACATTTCTCCATGAGCTTAAAATCTCTAAAATATCTTTTATTAGCAATTCTATTTCCTATAGTAATTTATGCAGGGGGAGGGAAAAATAATTTATCTATATTTGATATTCAGTGATGACACTTTTCCCCCCAAAAATCATATAGTCATGTGCCTCCTACCAACATTTGTGTCAGTGATAGACCCTCGTGTATGAGGATGATGGCATAAGATTACAAGGGGCCTCAAGGGCCCTGTTGTCTAACATCCCGCTGTACTTTTTACATATGCAGACATACTCAGGTGCACGAATACGCACTGCTGTGTAATGGTCACCACAGCATGCAGCACACTTGCTCGCTGTGCAGGTTGTGCCGGGAGATGAGGGGCTGCACCCTGGGACGTGCCGCAGCGTGCAGCAGGCTGCACCATCTCAGCGGACCTAGATTCACTGTCTGCTCTCCATATAGTGATGAAACCACCTAACAATGCACCCTCACTGTGAAGAGATCCAGGAGCTTGTGTGCTTCTTTATTGCCCTTTCTACTGGAATAAAGTAATTACTTTAAATAATGGTTTACTCTAAGGTAATCTATGTAAGAAAATTTGGTAGCTGTCTTTTATATAACTTAGTAGCATTTCATTCTGAGTGAAATAGTCTAAAAGTGTGTTTGTATTACACAAACATTAAGTAACCCATAATCTGAAAGTTATTTAAAACTCAAAATCATTTAGAAGAGAAAGACATGTCACAGAGTATGACGTAAGTGAAATACTGTACACTGTAGGAGCACTGTCCTTTATCAGTACATGAGTTTGTGTCCATCTTGGAGCCCATGTGCGTGCACATTATAGCTTCTGTTTTCATTAGGGAGCGTAATGATGGAGTCTGAAAACTCTGACTCAGGGTGATAAACAGGTCGTACTGCCCTTTGGTGGCCACCTGGAAGGAAATTTACAAATAGGTTCAACTGGTTTAAGGAGGTAAAAATGACCTTCAAGTATTGTGCCTGAGAAAGACAAAAGGAAGGGGTATGTGTGTATCTTCCCCGGGGACATTACCTGAACTGGAAGGAATGAGGAACAGAAGCAAGAGATACCTACATGGGAGATTTCCTCTGAGTTAACAAAGATAAGGGCAATGTGCTTTGACAGTCTGGCTTATTTATTCACTGAACACCCTATATGCACATCAGAAGTCCACTATAACCTACCAGCTTAGACTAAAACAGGACTCCTCGCCTAGCAGAGCTGTTCTTCCGAGGGTATATTCCTATGGAGGGAAGGCAACTTCGCATACACTACAAATGTAAAGGAAGTGGAGCTGCACAAGTAAAATTGAACAACAACTGGTGCAAAAGGGAAAGAGGCAGTGATTTTGTGCTAGACATTTAGCCTGTCCACTGGCCAAGCAGCAATGTTGGAGTACAGTGGAAAAATGGGCTGTCTAAATCCTCCAGAGTACGTGGACTGTGTGGACTCGGTTGTCTGCAGTGATAGCAGTAAATATTTTTATTGTGGACTTAATCAGCCTCTCAATTCAACAGCTGCCATTGAACGGTTCTAGCAACAACTGCAGGCTCTTCTGGGGCAACAGTTAGGCACATCTCCCATTTCCATGCAGTGGGTAATTGGCAGCATTGCCCCCAGACCAGAGCAGAAAAAGCTGACACCATGTAGGAGCCAACAGTGTGACATGTTTTTACTTTACTGTCTTTCTTTGAACAACACACTTCATGCTGTCATGTTGGCCTTTCCTTTTTTTCTGTGGGTTGTATAATTTCAAGAAAATCTCTACCCGCCAAACGTAATGATGAAGACACTGATCATGGCTGGCATTTCATTAAGCCATATTTTTCAACATTTGGTCCATTAGATGTAATCTAAATTGTAAATGACTCTTTGAAACCTTTACAATAGTTGTTTTTACTGATTATAGCACAAAATTATAGCTTATTTTTCACAAATACAAATGAATTAGTAAAAGAAAAAAACAGAGCTTATTATTTCCCTCTGAACGAACATCAAAGGTGAATATAACATTCTAAATAAAAAAGTATACAAAAAGCAATGGATATAAAACAAATAAACAAATGTACATCTGCAAATAAGACTCAACTGGTTGAAATGACACCTGCCAAAACAACACTAATGCTGCCTGAGTAGCTCTCAGGATAAACTGTTAAATGATTAGAAATCATTTTGAAAGTATAGGCAGCAGGACAGAGTTTCAGAACTAGAAGACAGTGATGCCTTCAAAGATCAATGACTCAGACACCATAAAAACAAGAGAACATGAACAGTGGGTCAACAGTTGTTAGATGATGCAAAGAAACCTAATCTTAGAATAATTAGAATAAGCAAAAAATCAGAAGACAACAAAAATGGTATATTTCTGATCAAAAATTAATGGTAGAAGACTCCCCAAATGTAGAGCATCTTAGTTACTTTTCTCACTGGGACAAAATACCCAGAGCCCAAAATTAAGGAAGGAAAGGTTTATTTAACTCATGGTTGGTGGAGGTTTCAGTCCATAATCATCTGGCTCTAAGGCAGGGTGACATGGCACTGGGGCAACAGTTCATGACAGTGGAAATCAGCAACAGCAGATAAAATCTCCCTTATAGTGTATGCAGGCTACCTGCCCTAGGGCAGGTGTAGCACTTACATCCCAATCCCAGCACTAGACATGAATTAATCATAAACTCTAGATTCAGCCACCTCTGAAAGT